CGACGGCGGGAGCGCCGCCCAAACTACATTGGAGGTGTAGCACACGTGGCCGGTCCTCTCCTTGAGCACCTTAACCGTGACGTCGGCATGGTTGCCCCCGGCGTCGAGGAAAAATCACGGCACGGCCCTGTCGTCCATTTTCGCCGCCGGCCGTTCCCACATGAAACCGTACTGGAAGAACGACGCACCCCCGAGGTTGGAAGGAGATGCTGACTGGTTCAGCTTCTGCGCGGCGTCTTTGGCGGACTCCGCCCAGAGCTCATCGCCACGAACACTCAGTCCGCGGAACCGAGAAAATCTTGCGGGGCCATGCAGCTCCTGGGCGACCCAGCGGGGTGCCTTGGCCACCTTGAGGCACCTCTGGATGTCGCTCTCGACGACGCCGTTGTACTGCTGCACTCCTGAAGGGGAGTACTCAAGCGCGATCCCCATGCTGGCACAGAACTCCTTGAAGTCGCTGCTGGTCCAGAGGGCATCGCAGTCGCAGCGGATGCACTTGATCGCGGTACCAGCCTTGTGGGCAGCATCCACGACCACGTGCTTGACGACCGCTAGCGCCTCCGACTTACGCCGCATGGCGTAGCAGACCATCCATCCCGTGGCGGCGTTCACACCGAAGAGCATATAGTGGTTGCCACCGATCGTCGCCGTGTACGCGCCGCAGAGGTCGATGTGGAACACGTCGTTCGGCGCCCTCTTGCCGCGGTACCCGCCCCCCTGCTTCGGCACCGGCGCCCTCTTCCCACCCGCCGGCAAGCACCATCGGCAGCTGTCCATCGTGCCCGTGAGGGTAATCCCGTGCTGCTTCGCGGACAGTCTCAAAATGGGTTCGGACAAGTGGCCGGCACGGTTATGGAACGTGTTAATATCCATAACCTTTTGTGCATTGCCGACATTGAAAGGTGTCTTCCCTGGACCCGACACAGCCATAGCGCGTTCACACTCTTCACTCTCCCATCAATCATCTTCGCCGAGTATTCCGCCACAGCATCCGTCGCACTGGGGGGTTATAGATCGGAATCCGTCGCGGGTGTAAGAGTCGATGCCACAAAGGAAAAAGAACTCTCACGGGCACTCTCATTCGCAACGTCCATAGAAGGCAGGGATTTGTGGGGAAGGCGGGTTGCAAAAAGGGAATCGCCCGAAACGCCACGAATAAAAACGCAGTTTTCCGTGCATCATTTGCGTACCGTTGGGGTTGCTACGGACCTCATGCTTATGAGACACCTTCCATACTGAGAAAAGGTTGAAACCACACCCGGGTACAAACAAAACTCCTGGCACAGTGACGTCCACATCCCCCTGTTTCCCGTCGGCTCCGATTTGGTGGAACCTAAGGTCCAAACTCCCTAGAGCGTCGCCTGGAGCTGGAGAGGGAGAGGAGGAGGACGAGGTCGCCTGGGGTGCACCGTAGTGCTGTTGCTGCTAATGCTGCTGCGAGGTGTCAAAGGCCTCGTAGGCTCGCGGTTGTTGGGCGTCCGCTCCAGCAGCAGGAAGGTAGTGTGGTACGTTGCTCACTTCTTGCTGCTGGTAGAGCCCTCCGCCGTCGGGGAATGGGTGGAAACCGTGTCCCCCGCCGGCGGCGCTGCCGTAGGGACCTCCGCCATGGTCCACTCCGTGAGCCGCGAGCCCGTACCCGTAGCCTGCCTCAGGAGGTGGTGGGGTCCAGCTGGGTGTAGATTAGGGCGCCGACGTGGCCTCCCATCCCGAGGTGATGTCGTCGCCTGATGGTTCTCCGCCTCCGACGGCGAGATGAGCCGGAGAATAGGGCCGCGGTGCGTTGGCAATCTGCGCGGGAGGAACGTTGGGCGGCGGATAATTATCACCACGGCCGCCCAGCTGACGACCTCGGCTCTCCGGGGGGGTAAGGACCGTATCCACCATACCCACGCCCCGCAGAGTTGCGCCCCTGCAGCTGTCCTCCAGTTCCGGATCCTTGCCCACGCGACGGTCCCGACAGCGCTGAAGAGTGGCCCCGACTCCAGCCCGCACCTTGTTCGTTTTGGTACGGCTGCTGTCGAGGTGGGCCACCAACCATCCGCCCCGAGTCTTGGGCTCCGCCTCGAGCGAAGACCGATCCCTGGGCCTCCCGCCTCCCGCTCATGTACGCGCAGAACTCGTTGTAGTGGGCGAGGAATTCGTTGCGTAACTTGTGACATTCGGAGGTCTCGTGGGTGCTGTTGGGGCCGTGGAGCTGGCAGAAGTGCGATGGTTGCTGCTGATGTGGATGCACCGACCTTTGTGGTTGCTGGAGTCGATGTCCGCCTTGCTCCGATCCTGCGGCGGCTGGTTTCCCCGCCTCGCCGCCCCGGCCCACGCCGGCAGCGACGAGGGCGTGCCTCATCTCTTCCTCTCTCCAGCTGTCCGCTCGTACCTCAGCTCGTCCTCTTCCAACCTCAGCATCTCCTGCATTGTAGCCCTCGACAACACCGAATCAAACAGAAGGTCTTTAAGTTTCTCAAACCTTGGGAGAAATCCCCGGACTATGTGCCTGTACATCGACATGTCATCCCTGTTATCACCACACGATCGAAGTCTCATCCACAGCGCAACTGCCCTACCGTAATAGCTCATAAGACTCTCCCCTTGCCTCTGGCCTATTACGTTCCATGCGTCGTCAGGAGTTCGTCGCTCCTGACTCTCGTCTTGGCTGTATTGTTCGAGAAACACGCGGTACCCTGCTTGAGGTGATTCTGATGCCAAGATTTGGGCTTGTACGGGTTGTGCTGTGATCTTAGCTAGCATAAACGTCCAAACCTTCCTGGATTGCTTCACTCTCTCCTCTCCGAACGTGCTGCTCAACCAGTTCAAAACCACACCAGCTGCACCAACAGGGATCTCTGAACTCCTCATCACACCAGCAAGTCCCTCACTCTCCAGCCACGCTTCAGAAGCACTCGTGAACACTCGCAATGCATCTTCGATCCATCTATTCTTCAGATAGTCATCACTCCATACTGGTACATCTATCTTTTCTCTCTGCCTCAGTTCGAAGATCTGGTTGCAAGACGTGCCTGAGTGGGCACGGTGCCCCTGGTGATGAGTTGATGTCGCGAAGGTCTGCTTGAAGAGGTCAACCAGCTCACGCATCGCATCGCGCTGATCTTCCCCTCCTGCCGCTCGCGCACCCCCTCGGTCTCGTGCATCGTTGACGAAGAAAGAATCGTTCCCTCCTCCGTCCGTGACGCCTTCCCCGGGGGGAGGGACAGCCTGACCTGATCCCCCCGGGGGTTGTCGTCCGTCTCCGTCCGGCATGATGTTGCGCGCTTAGACACGGTGGAAACTCACTTGATCGTTACCCTAGCATGTTGAGTAGCATTGTGCGTCGATGCCTTGGCGCGCGGGGTCCCTTGGTTGGGGAATAAAAGAGCCAGCGGCGCGGTAGCCCCCAACGGTACAGCAGTGTAGGAACTATGATGGATGGGCGTGACAGCCTTCTACTTTGGGATGGAGCGTGATAGCTCGGGTATGGTATCTCTGGATGTGGCGTGGAAGCTTGGTGACGTGATAGTCGTGGTGTAAAGGAACATGTAAGGACGTGGATGTCCGGAAGGCGTGATAGCCAGGTGGCGTGATAGCCAGGATTGGCGTGGAAGTCGTGGCGTGATAGCCGTGAAAGCGTGGTAGCCGGGGAAAAAGGACTTGATTGCACACAGGAAGGAGGAAAAAGAGGAAAGAAAAACAAGTGAGAAACTACAACACACAATCACCATATCCGTTGTAGACAGACACACACATACCCCCACCCTCAATCCTGGAATACACGGCAAAGTTGGTAGCATCAAATCGAATCCAAATCAACTGCTGCACCCCCAAACTCTCCGCTCCATCTGCTCGGAAATTTCTTGCTTGCAATAATCTGTCGATGCTGAGTACGTCTACACTCTTCGTGGATGGTGCATTACCCCGAGTGTGTTTCTTGTGGATAGTTCATCAGTCAGAGGATTCATGGTACGTTGTGAAGTACGTTAGCCCCTGTCTGTTGAGTCTTGGTGTTCCGATATCATTGTGTTCTGCTTTTTTTTGTGCGTTGGTCGAGCGACACGGGTGGTGGCTGCGGTGCTGTGGTGCTGTGGTGCTCCCCACCCTTGCTCACTCCACCTTTTGACCTGTTCTCCTGGTCCAAGGTCTCATCAATAAAACATCTTTTGCCCAGAAGCCACGAGTTTACCAACACGGTTGCCTCCACATACATACCTTCATTTGCACGCATTGATAGCGCATCACCGGGATGCTAGTTCCCGGGATGTCTGCTCGTGTTTCTAATTCGGCCCCAGATGAACGTTTGCTCCGTGGGACGGCCATAGGTGGGATGTACTCGAACACACACTACACACTGCTCGCCTCACCCGTCTTTATANGTGTTCTGCTTTTTTTTGTGCGTTGGTCGAGCGACACGGGTGGTGGCTGCGGTGCTGTGGTGCTGTGGTGCTNAGGATTCATGGTACGTTGTGAAGTACGTTAGCCCCTGTCTGTTGAGTCTTGGTGTTCCGATATCATTGTGTTCTGCTTTTTTTTGTGCGTTGGTCGAGCGACACGGGTGGTGGCTGCGGTGCTGTGGTGCTGTGGTGCTCCCCACCCTTGCTCACTCCACCTTTTGACCTGTTCTCCTGGTCCAAGGTCTCATCAATAAAACATCTTTTGCCCAGAAGCCACGAGTTTACCAACACGGTTGCCTCCACATACATACCTTCATTTGCACGCATTGATAGCGCATCACCGGGATGCTAGTTCCCGGGATGTCTGCTCGTGTTTCTAATTCGGCCCCAGATGAACGTTTGCTCCGTGGGACGGCCATAGGTGGGATGTACTCGAACACACACTACACACTGCTCGCCTCACCCGTCTTTATAGTTGCCGCCTACTCGAAAAAGCCAACGATTGATGAAAAGAGCGAAAAGAGACTGAGCGTGATCACATGGAAAGACGGTGGCAGCCAGCAGTTATGTTGTGCGTCGCAGTCTCCCAAGCCAGGTGTTCCCGTTTGCTCTCGATGCTCGTACGCCGTCCGTCTGCTGTGGTTTGCGCGTACACCCGTTTGCTCGTACGTTGTCCGTCGGCTGTGGTTGCGTGTGCACCCACACCATAATTGTTACATGCATGATCATCGCAGACGTTCTTTGCTCCCCCTTATAATGTGCGTGAAGACACCCCAAATAGTCGTTCTTCTCACATTCCGTGAGGGGAACTTCCCCGTGTGTTTTGTTTCTCTTCTTTTTTTTTGATTCTCTCTTTCGGTGTCTTGCAGCTGTTTTTTTCATTACACACCGCTTCATCACTACGAATTCACCGGGGTTCACCGGGTTTGGTTGCAATTAAATTATTGCGCCGGAAGTGGCTTTTAGACCGCGCCCGCGTCACGTTTCACTTTGCAGTTGCTCTCTACCGGTACATGTTGAAGAAGTTACGCTGGGTAGTCTAGACATTCCCTTACTCTGTCCCTATGACGCTATACCTGGTCATTGAGCGTTGTGCTCAGCTGCATGCTAGTGTCACCCGTGTTGTTTCACCTTTGCTGCCGTCTATGTTTTGTTATTGTTTGTTCTTGCCAACCGTCGTGGATTGTCACCATTTTTTTTTTTCATTTTTTTTCTTCTGTACTTTTATTGGTTTACCTCTTCTTTTCTGTCTTACACTTGTCCTGTCTAAACTGTTGTAGGTGTACCCAGGTAGGTGACCGGTTTCGGTACGCGTATTCCGTTGTTGCGAACGTCTGATCCGTACCCTGACCTTGCGTTATTCCCTCCGGCCTTCGTCCTTTGTCCGTCGTCATTTCTTCCTCCAGTTGGCGACCGTTGCGAATGCTGCAAGAACCAGATGAGAGCAATAAGCTGTCACCTACCTGCTGCTCGGCCCATATTTACACTAACTGTTTCTTAGCCTTGATATTTTTGTACGTTTGTTAGCTGCGTCTGGTCGCAACATGTCACCGTTGTTTTCTGCTCTACATGAGGTACGTCTGAATGTTGCCGGCACAACGTGCCATACTATTCTCGCCATATGCCAAAACTGACAAGTAAAACCTTTTTGTTCTTGTCTCACTCTTTCGTACTTTTTCTTCCCGTTTTCCCGCTTTCTTGTTAATTTTTTTCCTTTTTCTACGCAGATGGCTTCTCCCGTTCGCTCCACCTATCGCCGCAACCAGGGTCGCTCGCGCTCTCGCAGTCGGGAGCAGTCGAGGAGGACGAAGGAGGCACGCTCTCCACACTCCCCACGCTCTCGCAGTAGGGAACAGGCGGGGAGGCACGCTCTCCCTCGCGCGCCCGCAGCCACTCTCGCCGGAGGAGTCGCTCCCCCCTGAAGAGTCGTTCTCCTTCGCGCGCCCGCAGCCGCTCTCGCCGGAGGAGTCGCTCTCCCTCGCGCTCGAGCAAGCGGCGCCGCTCTCTATCGCGGTCGAATGCACGGCACCACTCCCTCTCGCCGCCACCCAGGCAGAGCCAGCGCCGGGAGTACTCCTTGAAGTCCAACCCGCCGCGTGGCCTCCCGCGCGACCACCGCGGCACCGGCAACGAGCGCGGCTGGGAACCACGCCGTTCAATCCCCGTCGCCTTCCACCGCGCGGGCCGCCCAGGCGCTGTAGGGGCCGTCCCAGCAGCCGAGGTACATCGAGGAGCGGCATGGGCTGCACCAGCAGCGCGGAACGGCCGGGGTGCTGCGAATACAAGTCCGATCCAGGATCCACGAGCACCTACCCACGAGTTCCCGCGTCCGCCTGGTAAGCCCTTCGGTACAGAGGTTAACCAGATGTCGAAGGTGATAAAGAGAGTCCGTAAGAGAGTTACGGACAAGGTATCGGGTCAAGTGTACGCAGGGCCAGGCCCGGGAGAGTTGTCGATGAACAATCGCGCAGTGAGGCTTCGGCAGAAAGTCATAAGCGTTCTTCGTACTCTTGATTCTGGAGTGATTGCGCTCGAACCGGACGTATTTCCGAACGGTTTCCGGGCAACACAACCAGACGTTCACACCGGTCGGCGTAGGGAGTTGCTGACCGATCTACTGCACGAACACCTGCTGACACACAACCGAATTACTTCGGCCGACAGCCTACAAGTGTATCGCATAGCAGGACAAGTAGTAGACACCCCACGTGACAGTGTAACGGCTACCGACTGGCTGCGTCTCATTGTGCGCGAACATGCCTTGACGGGGGGCGCGGTTGAGTATGCTTATGCCGCGTTGCAGTCTATGGTACTTGGTACGCCCGAATCCATGCCCACCGCCGCAGCCCGCGTATTAGCAGCCTTCCGCGCCACATTGGTAGATCCTGACCGGCCCCACGTCACTGAACAGCGTTTTTTCTGGCGGTACATCTCGGCAGTGCAGATGATAGCCTTGTTCGAAGGCGTCACGGAGGTACTCCTGCCGAATCCGGTTGACGGAGCCGGGGTCAACGGGCTGCTACATGAACGCACACACTCTATCAGCACCACCCTGCAGAAGTTGCGTCAAGAGTCTCATAACCCCATGGGACATCACATGCGCCACCGACGCACGGTAGCTGAGGGCCTGTTCCACGAGTTTGTAGCCGTTTTGAGCGCGCGTTCCAAGCCATACATGACCCCGCCTACGCCCCGCAAACCGACCGGCGGGCAAGATCGCCTCTGTGCGGCTAACCCCACACCTCGCCGCATGTCGATGCCTGAATATCGACAGCTATTCACCGCAGATAGCTTGGTGTCGTACAACAGTTCGACGATACCACTCACCTCGTCGGGAGGCAGCGTGCCCCGCCGGCCGCCGCCTCCCACCGGGCTAATCTCTGTTGCCGCCGTAGCGCCGCCCGTTGCTGCCCCAGAAACCCCTTCGTCGGTTGCCGTCGCAGCGGCCAGCACGCCCGGCCAGCACGGTGTTCCTTTCACGGACAGAGTACCGTCATCGACGGCCGCACCAGCGACAACGCCACCAAAGGCCACCACTCCGGCCACCGCGGTGACACACCCAGCGGTGACTGCACCCCGGTCCGTGATCCTCGATCACCTCATGGAACATGGGATCTGCTACGCCCACGTGTTCTCGGCCTGCCGTCGATAGGGCCGTTGCAGGTGGCGACCCGACCTACTGGCAGCGTCATTCTACAAAGACGTGCCACGTCCGGCGAGCCGTGGCGCTACTCACACGCGCCGCGTCGTAGCCGCGTTGACGCCCGCCCATTGCGATACGGCCGTCGCCATGTGCCTCGAGCTTCACGTGTCGGGCGAGCATGAGGTGGCGATGATGACAGGGGACATCCCGCTGGGGCCTCGGGAAGACGCCGACATGTGAAACGAGGACGCGGGTCTAGCCAAACCGGGGCACCTTGCGTCCGCGAGGGCGGAGCACGGCGCCGGCGATCAGTTGTGGATACGTGGTGAGATCGAACGAGTTGGGCGTAGACGTAAGCCGTACCCAGCGGAGAGTTTACTTGATACCGGGGCGGGTGGGGGCAACTACATTTCATTAGAGCTGTGGTTTCGCGTACGTAGCTTAGCGAGGTGCAGGTTGGACAAATGCTCGGCGGGAGCCTTGGAAGCAGCAAATCCGTCGGAAAGCGGCGTGCCCCCGATGCGCATTTCAGGACATGTCACGAGCCCAATCCTGTCCAAAGCCGACTCTCAAGTACGATTCGTCACGGACAGAGTAGTACCGGATCTCCCGTATGGTTTTATCATCAGAGCTAAATATCTGCGACGCAACAAGAGCACGCTTGATTTCGGAGAAGGCAAAGGCTTTCAACCGACGCCTGACACGCCCTTCGTACCGTTTCTGTCGAGGCCGGTAGACCACCCTACCTAACCGTCACCGCTCTCAGCCGCACACGACCGCTTTGCTCTGTTGACATGCGACCCGCAACGCGACACTAACCTGTCCGACATAACCCCGCTGCCCGAGCTGTCCAGTTATCGTGACGTCGCGTAGGAGGATGACAGCACCCTGGAATGGGACCTGGTGCTAGGCTCGCAGATGTCGTCAGGGCTTACTACTATCGCGATGCAGACTGTAGCGATAGGTCCTCAACCACAGGACAGGCAGCTGGTGATGGTGTTGCCCGCGGAACGATTCAATCTAGAGAAGGGAGCCACAGCTGGGATTGCACGTGCAGTGATGTGGTGGACGCCGGGAACACCGGTGTACTGCAAGTTGGTAAACCGCGATGCTCGTGTTGTCGAAGTCACTATCGGTAGCATTTGGCGCCAGGATGATCGCCCTCAATGTCCGCGACCGTGGCCGTTTCGACTCTTTGTTCGACGATACCCCGTCCACTGTTGACCCTCCACTCCCTGACCCGGTTGTTGTGCCCACCCGTGACACGAGCGACGAGACCTCAGCGGCCTCGCCGCCCACCGTACGAGCGGCCGACGCTCACATGGGTCAGCTTGGAGCGCTACAGAAGCAGGAGTTGGTCGAGGTTTTGGCCAAGTTCGTAGAGGAAGGCCTATTCCCGATCGACCCCAAGCGAGTGGCAGCATGCGGTGGCAGCATAAGACGCACGCCCTCAGTACGCCTACAACCCCTTAACGACCCTCAGCTGCCTACCGTGGCGTAGGTCTCATCATCTAGGCTACAACGCGCGTTCGTACCTGAGCCCATCGAGCTGCCCCCGGCTCATCTACCGGAGCCGGTGCAGCCCGAGTGCACGAGGTTCACTGACGTGGAGAAAGTGCTTTCAGCAGGGGGGGAGTCGCCCTATCAGTTAGCGGTAGACACAGGGTCGACGGCGATTTACAGGGCGCTACGAGTGCTGAAGAACCCGGACACGCCCATTCGACGCCAGCAAGACGACGCCCTTTTGGGCCAGGTTCGGCGGGATCTAGGGGGGAGTGGTAAAGCAGGATACAGTTTGGATCGTAAGGGAGTGCTACCGTTCGAGTTTGAGAAAGGAAAACTGGTGATAGCGACCCCCAAACGCATGGTGGCCGGCATCCTAGCGTTGGTCCCCACATTACATGGACACGCAGGAGTCGGAGCGACCTTGTCACTAATTCGGGATCACTTTCACTGGCCTAAACTCGCACGAGATGTCCGTCAGTACGTTTTGTCATGTAGCTGCAGACGCCGCAAAAGGCCCACTAGTAGACGCGTACCGATGCTGCCAGGGAGACCATCGGGACCTTGGAATGAACTTGAGATTGACCTACTCAAAATTGACACGACATCCTGCTTATGGTAGATCGTGCATCCAAATTCCCTTTTGGTTTTCCTCTTGCGACCAAGGAAGCAATCGGAGTAGCTAGAGCGTTGTCGGAACTTTGTTTGACTTTCGGCGTCCCCAAGACCATTCGTTGCGATGGCGGTAAAGAGTGTGGCGGAGAAGTAGTGACTCATCTGTGCCGGTGGTTACAGGCAGAGATCACTTTTGGAGCAGCAGATCATGCCCGAGGGCAGGGCGCAGTAGAGAGGCTAGGAGGTTGGATGCAAGAGCTGTTGGCAGAGCTGTGCAAATGCTGGAATGACCGTTGGGATGAGTACGTATCACCGGCTATCTGGATAAAACGTACGTTGCCAGACATTTCCGTTTACCCGCACATGACCACGTTTGGACTGTTGTTCGGCCGTAAACCTCGTACCTCGCTAGACTCGTTGGTACCGCTTTTAGAGGAGGGAAATCAACATCCTTCGGGAGGTTTGGACAACTTCGTTGAACGGCGTTAACAGAACCTTCGGGAAGTTAGGTTGATGTTCGAGAAGCGCCACGACCTGCGGGTAGCAGCAAGGGCCAAGTCGAACGCCAATATTTCGAGGACCGCGGCGTCAGTAACGGTAGACAAAGGCAAACTGGTTATGGTGCGCGAAGCCGACAGCAGTCGTCACCGAGACAAGCAGGGCCGGAAGCTGCAGCACGACCTCTACACCGGTCCTTGGACAATACAAGAAGTTTCGTAGAGAGGTTTGAGTGTGCAAGTGAAGATGCACGGGAGAAAGCTGCGTTCGTGGGGAGTTTGCACGGCCGAGTTGAAACCCTTTTATCTTCGCCCACCCCATTTGAGACATTATATTGCCGAGGAATTCATGCAGCTCGCGTGGGGTCCTGATTTTGCAGCACCCGTCGAGCAGCCTGAACTAGGGACGTTCGTGTCCCTCTCTGACTGCCGTCGTGTGCATTCACCTATCGATGCCTTGGTGTGGGAGTACAAAGCCATATCGCAGACTGGTGTAGAGTCCACCTGGTTGTCAGAACCTGGCTTCTCCGCACGTTCACACGCTTGTAGCTGGATGGGTTCATTGCACTATGGCATCTGTACTATCCTGAATTGGCGTCTCAACTTACCTCGCGCTCCCTACCGCGGGCACCGTTGTCAGCCCATGAAGCCCTGCGAATCTACCCAATAGGTTTTACTTTCCAGAAAGACTTTGGCGGAGGGCTAAAGCTCAAGGACAAGTGTTTGGTTACCGAGACCGATACTGGCGTGTGCGTTACAGTAACCAGAACTGGGAGGAGGTGACGCGTCAGGAGCTATTAGAACGTTGTATTCACTGACGATCGCTTTCACCGCACCAGCTGTCGCTGTATCGTGCATGTTGGGGTGGGGGGACATTTTTTTGTGTATCGTGCGGTTTTTGTTGTGTCGTTGATGTCATGTTGGGGGGAAGCAGTCGCCTTTTGTGTTTACTGGGATGGTGGAGACTGTGGATCCTTGGAAAATGCGGCGCTATCGGAGGATGAGGTTTCTTGAGGCTCAGTCTTGGTGAAGGGATTCACTTGCGGAGATAATGTCTTTGCTCCTACTCGGTAAGCGGTACCGAGTCGATGGTTGATTGGTGTGTTCATTGTATGTTAGCGTACAATCGCTGTTATGATTGTGGTAACGCTTGTAGCCAGTGGCGGCATGTCAGTCTATTCCACTGGCATGGAGATCGCTCTCCATGCCAACGACTTCACAAGAGGGTTTTGTCGAAAGTTTGTCACTCAGAGAAAAGAGAGAGACGAGATGGCGGCGTGAAGTCTCGGGTGGATAGGTTCCCTTTCGAGGCAAATCGATTGATTGAGAATCCTGCGGTTCTACCATTCCCCTGGTTACAAGTACAGTATGGGGCGTTAGTGAATAACGCGTTTGTAATATACTAGGGGGGATGTTAGTGTTCGAGACATTCATTGTTCCGCAAGTACACCCCTACCGAGGATTTAGGCCGCATTCTGCGGAGCCTCTGCGAGAGTTGTTTGGAGACGCCCTCCCCTCTCGCAACCAAGCTACCATCCTGAGCTTGCACTAAAAGAACAAGACCATACCATCCAAAAGGAGGCCTTTGCTCCGACACTACACCTGCCACTACAGCTGGTACAAGTATCTTTACTACTCATCGCACTCGGTACAGTCGTTCGATTGCGCAAAGAGGGGTCAGCGTGTGTGCATCGCTGCATGAGAGTGCTAGAATACCTCCTAGGAGTAGTAGTTGCCTTTCTGGCGCCACAAGCAGTGTTATGAACGGGAGCTATACGTACTTACTGATTCCACACTTTAGACCTCTACCGATACGTGCTAACGACGCGTTACATTTATTTGAGTGTACCTTTTTAGGGTAAGTTAGCCTGGGACCACGGGAATCGACCGCGTCGAGTGTTGGATCAGTACGGACATACGAAGATACCGGGTAGAGAGAGATCGGGCCGGTTTTTGATGTGAAGACAACAACAACAACAACAACAACAACAACAACAACAAGAGCCCTGTCGGCTAACTACAGGTCCTGTGATTTTCCCACTATTCCCACAAGCACGCAAGCATTCCAGCACACACCTACCTTTGTATCAGTGGCTCTCTAGGTTCGGGCGAGGGTATGTGTGGGGCCACGATATCCTGGCCTGGTTGGGTCTGAAGTGCCCCTTTTCGCTGTCTTCCTGTCTTGCTTTAGTGGCCTCCTAGGTTTGGGCGAGGGCATGTATGTGGAGCTATTGATGTGTGTCTCTGTGAAAGGATACATACAGGTAGTGTGCATTCGCATTTATTGCAGTGTGCGTTTCTTGAAATTTGGCCGTTCCAGGGACCTCGATTTTACCCGCCGGCACTAACGTCTTTTCGTTGGTCACTGTGTAGTGCGGTGGATGCGAACAACAAAGACACACCTACCTTTTGACTTTCCAACACCTGGCGTGGAAGGACCCTNATTTGGCCGTTCCAGGGACCTCGATTTTACCCGCCGGCACTAACGTCTTTTCGTTGGTCACTGTGTAGTGCGGTGGATGCGAACAACAAAGACACACCTACCTTTTGACTTTCCAACACCTGGCGTGGAAGGACCCTGGGCGGCAACTCCATGGCATGCCACAACACCAGCATTTGCAAATGATCAATCAATGATCTGTCAGGACGCCTGTAGACCCAAAAGGGTTATGTCTAAAATCAACTCATGTGGTCTCAAACCAAGTTAAAGCGATTAGACACACACATACACAAGTAAGAACCGAGCTCTGCAGAGATGGATTGATGCGAGGAAACTCGCCGCTCGGAAAATACGGAAGAAAGCGCACCCGCAACGCGAGGTGGACCGAGAGAGACACGAGACCGCAGCGGCCGTCAAGGCGGATGCGAAGAAGAAGGCACGAGAGGGCGACCTATCGTTCGGCACGTTCAACGTACGCACGCTCGCCTACAGCGGTAGGAACCCCATCGGTCACAACGTGATGGCGGTCATGCAGATTTGTTCGGCGACCGGCTGTGATGTGATAGAACTTCAGGACACCCGACGAGAGGGGCAAGGTTCAATTGCATACGACGGGTACGTGATCATCTGGAGTGGCGCCCGTGCTGGCACCAAGGACAAGGTGTGGGCATAGCGATCAAGGAGGCCATGTGGGAGAGTGTGGGCGAGGAAGGTAGGACGGTGGAGTGCATTAGCCCGAGGCTGATGAAGGTGCGTCTACAAATCGGCCGCACCTGCGGAGTAACTTTCGTGGTGGGGTACGCCCCCACGGAAACTGTCCGCACCACCGCGGGCGGTGATGTTAACGCCATGGACTCCATCTGGACTGCTCTCGACGCAGTGATCCGGGAGGTTCACAGCCGTGACCATCTCGTGGTGCTAATGGACGCCAACGCAGGCAGTGATAGGAGGCGAGACGGGTGCTGCGATGCCAAGATTATGGGCGCGTACGGACGCGACATTATGAACAACAACGGGGAACGACTCCTTGGACTGGCATCAGACAACCAACTCTCCCTGACCAACACCTACTTCCGGACACCGAAAGGTGGAGTGCAGCACACATTCCAGAGCTCCAACAAGGGGAAGGAGAAGTACCGCCTCGACTTCATCCTCATGCGTCAGACGGACCGGCGTTTCGTGCGTAATGTCTCCGTCAAACGTGTCGACTTCAAAGACTCTGACCAAAACCTCGTGCCTACGACTGTCCGCCTCCCCCCTCGTGTCGCACCCAACCGACGAGTACGGGGGAACAGCGAAAGCAGCCGGATCCGTATCGACCTCGAGCGGTTGAGGAAAGACAAACACCTACGGGACGCCTTCCAACACAGGGC